AGGCACGTTCCGTCTCGCAGGTCATTGAAACATGATGGGTTTCAGCTGCAGCAGGATACCACATCATGGCGTCGATTTGTCCCAGCAGCTGCATGTCATTGGTTCGGTCTTGAAAAATGGAGAGTGCCTCGTCGTTAGGAGCCATCTCTCCTTTGCGAGTCAACTCTCCGGGGTTCTTCCTTTTCCACTTGGTTGGTTTCTGCATCGCGATCATGGATGCAGTGACGCTGGCATCGTGGACGGCATATGCCTTTTGGTGGCTCTCGTAGAAGAAGGCATCCACAATCTTTTTAGAAGTCACTCCAAAGTCACGCTTGAAACCCTGACGATTGGCGCTGTGAACCAACAGGAGAACAGCCACGGCCGTAACAAAACAAGCAAAAAAAGGGAACTTCAGCAACAACCCTTGGCCGCCGACACGCTTGCCTTTCTTGGGGTCAGCATTGAAGGTGCTCAAGCTGCTACCAGTGCTGCTGGTAGCACCGCTGGAGTTACTCCCGTCGAATGAGGGGGAGGATACTAGCTCCTTTATAATCCCATTGTTCATCATGGTCTTGGTCTGGCGAGATGAACGAGAAAGATTTTGTGTTTTGTTTTTTAAAAAAGGAATGAGCAAGTTCAATTTGTGCGAAAAACAAAGTGACGACGTGTGAAACAAGAGCCATACAAGCCAAAGATTTTGATAGCCTTGGATCTTGGATCCGAATTTGGTTTTTAGTAAGTTTCTAGGAAAGCTCCACGGAGGAGTATGAGTGACTTAATTCCAACTTTACCGGGACCACACCTATTTCCTTGCAAAGGAAAGCGTCTCAGGGAGTCATTCTCGAAAAGGAAGTTTGAAGGGTATGACGGCAAATATTTACTTTGTTGAAATTTATATTTACCCCGTTCTTGAATGCTTTGTATGTTTTGACCAGTTTCCACATGAGTGCACCACGTCAGAAAAATGCCTTCCGAGGAACTTTCGGTTCACTCAGTAGAATTGGAATCGAATCATTGTCGCCGTCCATGGGACATGGGAGAATAGCTATAGCCCCAACGTACCGGTAACCATCGAAAAGTCGAGAAGTCCACGGCGCAAGGCACGGCACTAGTACCAGCTGCGGTACTCTACCGTACTACATACATGTAGAACTGGTACCTGCCGCCTTGGGGTTTGGGGTCCTTCGGAGATTCGATGCAGCAGCTATGCAGGTTGTTTGTTGTTTATTTTAATAAGAAAATTGCAACACGTCAGAGGGTGGCGACGCCATGGAATGGCTCCGTCATTGTCAAGACACTTCAACGGTGTGGTCAAATAAATGTCAAATTTTTTAATTAAAATGGAAGCTTATTATCGAGCGACGTTGGTGCTTCCGTGTGTGCTGCCAACTTCCAAAGCTGTTCAAGGAACGAGCAGCTGCGTGCGCAACGCTGCAATAAGTCGAGTCGCTTTTAGCTCTTTGGCTACCTGGTACGGTGTTCTTGGCGCGTCTTGAACGGGGGCCTTTTGTGCTTTCAAAACTGGTTTGAAGCTGCGCTTCTTTCTGTTGCTTGGCGGAAGGAGGGAAGCGTAGCTTCGACGCGACAGAATGTTCCTTGCCGGGCATGGTAGTCTGAGTGTTGGTGGTTAGACCGTGGAAATTGAGCCATCAATGTCCTTGCGAGTGATGTATGGGGTACCGTTACACACCATTTCGGCCGGCATTGTTTGGATTACGCCCAAAACCCAGCAAATAATTCTCCATGACCGTAATAATACACCTGAATCCAGCAGCCTGCAATTGCGGTACGTCTCTTTCGTACCAAGGGCAGTTGAAAGCGGCATTTACCGTACTGGTAGAGCTCCTGGATGCATGATGGGGCATGGGGCTGGACGCTGGACGGAGTCGAGTGACTAACAGTCTACCAAGCTTTTGCAGTTGCTAAACGCTTTCTTCGCACCCCTCCCCAGCGACACAATGCGCCTCGCTCGCCTGTTTCCTCAGTGTAGCTACGTACCGGTACGGTACATCATCAACTCTGGAAAGTGTGGCAAAAGTTGAATTGGCGATAAAAACTGTTGAATTTCCAGCTGGATTCCACTTTTCAACAGTGTTGAATTTCAAAAGTGTTGAAAAAACTGTTGACACAGTGTTGAATCTTTTTCAACAATTTGTTCAACAGTAATTCAAAACAGTTTGCTAGTTATAATGGTGCATATCTCAACACTTTATTCAACAGTAATTCAACAAGTGTTGAATCAGATTCAACAGTTTTTTTAACAGTTGTTGAATCAAAATTCAACACTTTTGCCGGTTTCAACAGTTACAAAGTGTTGAATTCCCCTCCTCCCTCGCCAAATTCAGCTTTTGCCACACTTTCCTGGAAGACAACTTTGGAGTTCAGGTAGTTGCGGTAATTTAAAGTTTTTAAACAAAATAAAGAGCAAACAGTAACTTTAACCCTATATTTACCGCAACTACCATTCTAAGCCTGTCTTCCCGGGTAGGAAGCGTCCCGGTACCGTACTCCGTTGCTACGGTACCGGTACAATTTCAGTCCCATAAAGATTGGTTTCAGCCTGAACCCTAATCAACTGACACTAACAGTACCGTAGAGTTAGAACTACCATAAAATACCGCCAACCTTAAAACAAGCAAAACTGGCGTCCTTCCGTCACCCGTTGGTCGTCACCATGACGATCGCACCGGCAACACACCACAGCGGCAAACCCCACACTTTGTCCTCGTCCCCATGTAAGTTTTGTTGTGAATCGAATCTCACCATGATCTCATGGGGAGTGTAGAAATCGTTGACATATCGTTGGTAGCGGTGGGGATGGTGTTGTAGGTGATGATTGTGGAATTTGACGAAGGGTAAAAAAGGAGCGGCAATTTGAAAGACCATGGCAAACCGCCGACCATTCGAAGAGGCGCTCGTCGACGAGGTGTTGGATTTTTCAGTCTTAGGAGTGATTCACGGATCCTGAACTTGCGTTCTTGCGTTCCCAAGACTATGACGATGAATGAAGTACCTCACTCCCCGTTTGCTCGTTTGTTTGTTTTTGTTGGTCTCCTCATCAGCTGCCCTCTTTTATAACCAACTAGTCAACAATGTTTCGATACGGTCTGCAACGCACCGCGCAGAGAGCGGCTGGTGTTCGTGGCTTTGCCGCAGAAGCTTCCCACAAACCAGTGCTGCGATTGCACGGATTGGCAGCTCGTTATGCCAATGCCACGTACGTTGCCGCCTCCAAGGTGGGATCACTAGAAGCTGTGGAGCAAGAGTTGTTGGCCCTCCAGGAGACTGCAGCGAAATCTGCCGAGTTTTCCGCCTTTTTGAACAATCCCTTGATCCCTCGTAATCAAAAGGCCGATGAAATTGCCAAGATGACCTCCGGCAAGTTCAGCCTCTTGACCACCAACTTGTTGACCACCTTGGCTGGAAATGCCCGTTTGAGCGAACTTCCCAAGGTTGCCGCTACCTACGAAAAGTTGATGCGTGCCAAGCGTGGCGAAGTCGATGCCATTCTCATTACCGCTGAAGAGCTCACTGCCAAGCAATCCAAGTCGATTGCTGATGCCGTCATGGCGGGACGCTCGGGCGACCAAAAGGTCATCTTGAAAACCAAGGTGGATCCATCCATCTTGGGTGGATTTCAGGTCCTAATTGGAGATGAATTCTTGGATCTGTCCGTCAAGAGTCAGGTCGAGGACATCTCTCGTATGCCACTTGCCTAAAGCATCGAAAGGAAGGAGGAAGTATATTTTGGAGCAGGAGATGGTGGCTTAACTTGAGCATCCTAAGTAAAGATTAGGCTTGTTCTTCAAGCATCGGTTTAGTACCTCCTTCAGTTTCTCGGTTTGTTTCTCTAGCTAGTAGCACTTCAAGTAGTGATGGTTGTCAAAGTGGTACCGTATGCATATGCATGTCTTGCGTCATTGAAAGCTCAAGATTTTTGGGGTCGACTGAATTCAATCATCCCCATCTTGTAGCGTTGAATAGTCTCGTCCCAGTACTCCTGGCCATCCCAGCGAGTCGAGTCCAGCTAGCTACCCACCACTACGCATACAAAAGCTAGCAAACACTCTAATAGCTAGTATCGCTCGTTTGCAACTCATCGTTGAAATATTGTCCTCCCTCAGCCAAACACTCACAACAGATGAACCCCTAGTCTTGAGCAGAACATTACAATACGGTTACGCATAGAATATCGTCGACGTCTTCCAAATCCTGAGCGCTCCGCACCTTGCAACGATCCTATTTCTGTTTCTTTTGTTCAGCGTTCTATCTATAATTTACTTTTGTTGTTGCTGCTGTTCTGATGAGGAAGAATCATTTGCAGATTGTTGTTGCTGTGTGTCTTCTTCTTCATCTGGTTGAGTTGGAGCCACTGGACCAGTAGTACCAGTTTTCGTGTGTTGGTCTTGAATATAATCCTGCAGCAATTCATTGGCTCTATAAAATTTGGATTGTAGATAGAATGATCCCCCCTTTGAAACATCATTGGCCTCCATGAATTTTTCAAATTGCTGCAAATACAATGGTAAAATGAGAGAGAAACACAAGCACAAGTAAAAGAGAATGAGAGACACTCATTTGACAGGACATTTTCTCCTTTTTCCTTTCTTGCACTCCATCAATCAACCCTCCATATCAATTCAATAGATAAATAATTTTTGTTGTTGTTGGCATACCTTCTGAACAGCCTCTGGTGTCAATGCTTTTTGCTCTGTCATGTTCAATATTTGGAGTGCTTCCTGTTGCGACATGGCCTTTTTCCCAAATAGGGGTGCTTTGGCCGCGGCATCCGCAGCGGCTGCTCCTCCTGCCTTGCGGGCATTCTGCAAAGCTTGTGCATACGCGGCTGGAAGTGCTCTTGCCAAGACTGCCACCACAGGAACCACCAGTTGGGCCAATATTCTTGCAAAGGGACCGACTGCCATTCTTTTTTCTTTTTCTTTCAGAATTGACTGCTGCTGGGAAACAAATTAAACGTCTTCTTCTTCAAAGGTTGCTGGAGGAGTGACACGGATCTAGCGCTATCCTCTCCAAGTTGCAAAGTAGTGTGGAAGTTTTAGAGATGGACTTCGTAGTTGTGGTTGTTTTCAGCGTAATGTTGTTTCGTTGTCCTCTTTCAATCCAAAGACGAAAATGCGGGGATGGGTGGCCTGGAAAGTTTGGAACAGGAGGATCGAAGATGCAAGAGGAAAAGCACTCAATTCGTGTTCTCATTCGACTCATTCGACTAAAAACAAAGACTGAGTCGAGTCAGAAATCCGATTGATTGTCGAAGACGTTCGTGCGATGCTTGACGGTCCAAAAACACACCATGATAGGATGCGTGATGAGCCTCACAAAGCTCAAGACAAAGTAGAGTTTAGAAAACAAAAATGGAAACCACCACCAAGCCCTGCAAGGGGCAAGTGAAAGTGAGGCATTACCAAAAGCTGGATCCAGCCTCAATCGACATGAAACAATGGCCCACTGGCAAAGAAATCCAGGATGCTCTCAAAAAGGAAGGATTCCTCCACCGATTGGAAACCAAAGAGGAAGCGTTTTGGCAAGCTGCCTTTCGATGGGCCTTGCTGAAAAAGTACGGCCACTGTCCACAAGGACTGGAAAATCCATTTGCGGAAACTCCGGATCGTAGTACACAGAAACTTTGTCTTTCGGATCAGGACATTGTCACGATCGACGACATTTGGCAAGAACTGTGCGAATTGGCCACTAGTGACAGCGCCAAGAACCACTCGGAGGCAGATTCGGATTTACTGCAATTCTTGGCCACAGCAATGTCCAATAGAAGACAGCTTCAATGGTCCTTTATGGATTGTGGGCCAGCCTGTCAGTTCAAGTTGCATGCCCACCCCAACATGGAGATTATCTTTTGTGTCAAGGGGGAACTGCATGAAATCAGAATGGATGGAAAGCCCATCACCAAGGAATTTGAATCAGAAGAAACTAGCTCTCCTGATAGCGATATCCACAGCAATCAACGACTCAAGGGACCTGACCTGTCCCTTTTAGGGCGACCATGGAAATTTCAGACCTTGAAAGAAGGCAACTTCTTGGTCAATGAAGTGGGGTCCATTCACAAATCTTTTGCCGCCACCAATGGCGAAGGCGTGCTGTTATTGGTCGTCTGGGGAGGATCACATGCTGATGTGTCACCTGATCAAGAACCTAGGAGTGTCAACGTACAGGAAGCTTTAGAAACCATGGACAAGCGGTTATGTGGAGATTGCGCCTCGGGGACCCTTATCTCGGAAACTTTTCTTCCAACTTCCGAACGTAGCCAATAGCAGCTATAGTGAATGAATCGAATCCATCTTCTTACTTCTAATACTGTAGTCTCTTTTAAATTAATAAAAAGGCGATGCGATTGAGTCTGTATTGTGGGTTGGTATATTCATTCTGTAACTTATCCCTTCTTACGGCCAAAACCGCGAAAGAAGCCTCCGATACCCCCACCTTGGTCACCACCCTCCTTATTGCCAGATTCCTTTCCACCTTCGGGCTTGGCGCCAAGTCCAAACCCACCAGCCATAGCATTCTTGAAACGTTGGGCTGGCTTTGCCAAGGCGTTGCCGACACTTTGGGCTACGTTGGTCTTGCGGTGTCTGTCGCTCCAGGCGGATATTCCTGGCAAGGCATGCAACCGCAAAACTCCATTCGAACACGCTGCAGCAGCTACGACTGGACGGCTTAGGTTGGGACCCAGATCGATATCCCAGGCGTGGGCAATGGTGTCCTCTTCGGGGATGTCGGTCTCGGCGATTTGCCACTCGTCCAAAAACTGCAAGGGTGCCAGTGCAGAGAGACGGTGAACAGTCGTACCCCGGCCTCCGCAAACAAGGACGGCGGTACCATCAGGCGTACAGCTCATCTTGTGCGGGATACCACGCCATTTCTCCAAAGGTTGAGATCCGAGCGAGACGCCCTCAAGGGTGAAAAGATGCAACGTGATGACTCGGCGGTTGTGCTCTGGTGATTCAGCGTGCTCTACCAAGCTTTCACACACTGTCACGAGATAACCTTGCACGCTGATGGCCAAAGCACCCGTGTCGGCAAACCGAGTCTTGACCGTTGCATGCGGCCCCAAGTCGTACAGGTCCAGCGTGTCTTTCGGGGGCGAGAGTGATCGAAGTAGGCATCCATTGCCAATTGAGAACAAGCAGCAACGGTCTGCAGAGGTTGATGCCACCAATTGAATAGCAGCCGATAGTGCAACAGCGCACACTTTGGAACCATGGTGGCCGTGCAGTCGCACGCGAGGCCGCAACGGAAGATAGTGACTCGACATGAAACGCCACACTGAAGCATTTCCGTCTGCACTCCCCACAACAGCCAATTCACCTCCAACCCCACCATGACCAGCTGCCGACCCGATAGGATCTGCAGAAATGCAAGTGATTCGTGCGGAATGAATAGAAGGCACTATTGCCTCCCCCCGAACTGTGCCCTTTGACGGGTCCAGAAGCTGCATACCCAGCCCTCCGTAACCATCCCCATCCGACAGGACCAAAAGTACGGATCCTCCGGCAAATAAGGTTTTTGAGATTGCCACAGGAGGAACTTGATCGGTCATATTGAAGTGAATCAGTCGGGGAACACTGCGGAAGCGTGGGAGCTCCCTCTGGGCAACGAAACAACCCACGTCGATTGGTTCTGTCGACTTGCTCTCGTCCACTTCTTCAGACTTCCAAGCCCATCGAAAGCAATGGAAGATTCCTTGCCGATCCACCGCCACACATCGATCTGTACCCGCAAGACGAACGGATATCAAAGGGACGTGCGGACCTGGCGGGGGAGCATCCAATTGTACCCAGTGGGACAACGGTGCCGCACAAAATGCCAAAAAAGCTGGCTCTGTCATCTGCAATGCACGAGCCGAAGAGTTTCCGTTTTCGGCAGGGGGGCAATTGGCCGTCATACCAGCGGATCTGAGGATGGCATCGCTCTTATTTAGACTCTGTGTATAGGTGCTGAGCAGCTGGTAAAAAGATAGCTTGCGGAATCTCGCTTCTTGGGGCAAACGACGAATGTGTGGTCTTGTGAAAAGTTGCATTGGACACTGGCCAAAATGAGCAATCTGAAGTTCAGTGGCTTCCCGAAGACCATCATCTTCGATGTTCGCCACATCTACACTCCCATAGTATGTCAAATAGAAAAAGACATTGTGCGCTGCGACGGCCTCAGGTCCCTGTTGCTTTCGCCCAAAAATTAGATCAATCCAATCTGGAAGCATCTGCGAGCAAATCTCGCTTTCCAGACTGCTGCGCATCACTTCAACGAACTTCTCAGGGCTTCCTTTTGCCCAAGGCGGAAGTTTAACATCACCAAGTACATCGCCGTCTTGTGACGTTCCCAATTTGAATTTGTTTGAGTTTTTCAAGAACGATGGATTGCAGTAGAATTCTGGAGTCAACTCTTTCACTTCCGCCGCCGAGGAGCCAGTGCAAACGTCCCAAGTTCGAGGAATAGAGCTGAACAATCGATCTGCAACATCGAAATGTCCGCTCTGTAGCTGACGGTGTAATCCAGCATAAGGGTGCATTCGTACAAGGAAGTGAAGTACAACACCTGCACTCGTCGAGTAGTGACTTCCATACATAAATGGCGGTATGAAAGGGTCTGCGAACGTACTGAATCGCTCGATGAAGTCTTGCAGTCGATTTGGATTTAGAGCTCCCACTGGCTTGGTCAGGTCACGGAAATTGTTTGGGTCGTTCAAGTCTGGGATATCCTCCGACTTGTAGTTGGATAGAACCCACGGCATCACAGGGTATTGACAAATATCATTGTAGCTCCTGCCAGAGAGCATATTCAAATGCAGCAGGTAATCAAAGTTTGTGATGCGGCCTTCGGCCCACCCGATGGTTAGTCGGTTTAGTTGCTCGTGGAGAAACTGCTCACTTCTGTCCGGCCATTGCTTGATAGTTTGAGGTGGTGTCCGTCTCATAATGGCAAACGCTGCGTCATCGCGCTTGTTCAATCCATCCTGGCCCGGTCCAAAGTCCAAAAACAGCGAAGTCAATGGTGAATACATTCCGTAACCTCCAAAGGCAGTACCTCCAGATGGAATGAAGAACATTTCCAGGGAAGAATCGCGTAGGCGGTACCGACGCAAGTAGATGTGCGACACCTCCGAAAGGTTGAAACGAATGGATTTAGGCCTCAAGTGGGCCTCCTCGCGATTGTGTCTCTGAGCTTGCTTCATCACTCTCCTATCAACCTCTTGGTCCCTGGAATTGGCTCCAGCTTCTTCGCTCAGTCGCTTCTGGCGGTCAATTTCCTCCTGTTCTGCAAGAACTTCACCTTCGAAATGTCCCTCGCTCTCCATGTCGTATTCTAGAATCAAATGCATTGAAGTCAACAACATGGTGCACTTTCGACTACCCTCGGCTTTGACGTGAAGGCAATTGTCCAGGTACTGCTCAATCAGTGCTGCGGCTGCAGAGTGCATAATGCTCAAACTCGACGATGAGTTATCGGGTGGGCCAGCGAAGGCGCTTGACGTGATGTTGTAGTGTGCTGCCCCAGCCTTGGCATCCATAGAGACAGTCCTCATGGGACGCTCGCTCTCGGTATCCCTGATGCTCTGATCATGTATTTCTTGGTTGCGCTTCTTTCTGTTGCCTTTGCCTTGCTCGGGCTCGGCAATCAAAGTATCGTCATCATTGTCGTCACTTGCGCCGCCCAATGTCAGTTCGTTAGTGTCTTCGACGACAGCTTTCTTGGTAATGTCAACAATATGCCCTCCCGTTGCAGCACTCAGGGTTTTTGTGAAGACGTCCAACTCTAAATCCAAGTCCTCTTCTTCCTCCTCATCGTCATCATGAATTCCAGTTATGCTAAAGAACTCTGTCTTTCTTCGATTCTTTGTTGACTTTCTCCCACTGAACATATCCTTGGGAAGGAGAGAGTTTCTCATGGGCCGCTCCGATTCTTCGTTCATGGCAACGCTCGACTCAAACTCTGTTATTTCAGTTGATTCGCTCCCCTCCGGCGCGTGGTCTAGGTATCTTGGAATGTACCGTTTGAACTGGGGAACGCATGGCATTGTAATCAACCGGCTTCTCACATCCCTATTGCCATCGTTGATTCCTCGTTCCCAGAACTTCTCCATGCTGAAGTCATGGTCGCATTCCGAGAGCTCAATGTATCTAGCCCAGCAAATGCGATGGGTAAAAGACAAACGGCTGTAACGGTGGCCCGGGAGGAATGAACCGTAGATCTCTGTCAACCTGGATTTCTCCAGAGCAGCAAATTCAATAAATGATGTCATGGCATCAGCCGCAGTCTCAGCCCCCGCGATGGATATTTGAGGTGCAATGGCAACCACAGTAGTTTCACCGGCCGTCTCGTGACGAACATTAGTGTCGAATAGCTCCACAAGCTCAGATTCCGCGGCTTCAAGAGCCACTGCTTCGTCAAATGCGTCAAGGAAGGGCGCTAACGTAGAAATCACCTTGTCGGCATTGGTACTCACACTGGCAGAATCGCTCTCAGCTTCAGTTTCGGCTTCACTCTCATGGATCGATTTCGAAATGATCGAACAATTCTCAAGGGCAGTAGCAAAGCCGTCATACTGTGCCCATCCGAGCTTTCCCCCAGTGTCCTTTGGATCAGAGCTCGCCCCTCCTCCTCCTCCATTATGGTTGTCGGGGAACATTACGAAATCATCGTTCCCCCGCTCAGAGCCGGTGTCCGGCCCTCCGTCTACGAGGTCAAAGTTCATCTCTTGAACGTCGTTGCCCCCTTCCTTCTTCTGTTTAACCTTTTCTGGCTTCGCATCGCTTTCCACTGACTGCGCGAGCCCCTGGTAACTACCGCCGAGCAAATCGCCTCCCAACATGAGATTCTCCACAGCTTGTGAAGACTCTGCTGCGTCTTCGGCTTTTTGCTTAACCGCATCATTCTCTTCATAGGCGTCAAATAGGGCAGTTTCGCGTTTTCGGCGCTCGCCAACGTATCGTACCCTCATCTCCTCGGCGACAGAGCCAAGCATCTTGTAGCACAGACTGACACCCAACTCATCCTGCCTGTGTTGATGTCGAAGAACAGCTCGTCTCAATGCCGCCAGGGAATTCATGCATTGGTCCCTTGCGTTGGCAAACGACAGTCCCACAATTGCAGCAGTAAGCGTGGATTCCAATTCTTCCAACGTGTACTTCAGCAACAGACATTCTTGAGCGCCGGTCGGCTGTACGTTATCTTCGTTGGATGATGCTGATTGTGGAGCTAGCACTCTGGTTTGTGTTGTAATGTTCCCAACAGAGCCAACGACAATGCGCAAAGAGGGTTGAAGGACCTGCAGCATTAATTTGGCTGCACCACCGCTCCGATTCTTGGTTTTGGATCTCGATGGAGTGAGATTCCTGAAGACGTCCGTAACACTGTTTCTCTTCTCTTTCTTCCTCGGGGTGCCGTCCTCTGACGTCTCGCCAGATGCTGCCATATCTAGACTTAGTTCGCTGTCTGGGGCAACTGGGTCGAGTGCAATTGGCAACACAATTTGGCACCAACCCGTCACATCACGGCCATAAGCAAGAACGCTTATCAACGCTCCAAGCAGCGCGATTTGATCCGAGCTGTAAGACCCTTCTTCGTACTTATCAGATGCTGGTCCAAGCAACCTGTTGAACAGATTCTTCTCTTCAATCATTGTGCACATTTTCGAGACGGCGGAAGCGAGATTCCCACTCCACAGTTCCCATTGTGACTGTCGCCGCAAACACTTGATAAGGACAGCAGCAGCGACGCGACTAAGGATACTCTGAGACAAAGACTCGGCATGGGCTTTGCGTTCGACGGCTGCTTCTTCCCTTGTTGGTGGTTCCGACGAAGATTCCTTGTCACCTTCAGCATCACTCTTCGAAGGTGCATTGGCGGCGTAAGCAACTGACTCTTTCAGGGTTGTCAAAATGGCTCGCCACAACGATGTAGATGCTTCGCCCCCGCCAAGCTTCATGGAAACTGAAATCAAGTCGGCCAACGTGGACAGGACACTCCTTTGACAAGATTCTAGCCTGGAAGTCAGGACATCTTTTTGTGGATTGTTGGTATCCTGGTCAGCCTCATCTTGAGAGTACGTGTTCATCAGCGCGCTTGATGACAATTGCCTGACTATGCGCGACACCTCAACGTATTCATCGGCATCATCTGGTCTTTCCACGGGGACGGGGTCTGGTTGCAGGAGTTTCACCACGCCAGATTCGCTTTCAGGTTCGCCACGCGCTCTAAGGTGATTTTCAATGAGCATGATAACAATCACAAGAGGAGGTGCGAACGTCTTGGCTGATTGAATGATCTGGTTCACAACTATTGTGCTTGCTTGCTTTCGATAGCTTCCCATTCTACTCTTTGAAGGAGTGACGCTGATGCCCCACTGGCCGAAGATGCGAGAGAAAGAGGCACCAACAGCAGTCAGCAACTCTGATAGGACTTGCATGTTGTAGACAGGGATCGGTGTATCTGGAGATGCATCGGACGGATGATCAAGGAGCGATACAACCATTCCTGGCAACAGAGGCATCATGATTTGCAGTCGAGCTGTCAGCAAATCTGTGTATGCATCTTCATCGGCTCCGCTACTGGCAATCGTAGGCAGGAAAAGCGTCGTGACAAAGTTGGGCTCCATCGTTTGAAGGATTCCATCCAGAGCACCAGCTAGGCCAGACGCCAAGATCAGCGAACCAGATGACTTGGCTGCAATGATCCCTTCGGGACCCGCCATTGAGGCGCACCACGAGAAGATCAAAAGTACCCATCTCCAATGATTTTGCCAGGACAAAATTGGTTGTTCGTTGTCCCCTGTTCTAGTGCTGTCATCCATCGTGTACACTGGTGGCTCGGGAGCAGCTACTCGGCGATCACCCGCGAAAACTGTTCGCGACAGCAGCATCGGCGCAACAACATCGTGAAACTGAGCTTGCAGCAAGTTCCGCACCAGCCTAGAAGCCAATTTTCTCTTTGCGTCTTCAACTTCCTCCTCCTCTAGCTGACCTATTTGTTGGTTTCGTTGCATGGCGGTGGACGCGGGATTGGAAGAACCGCTATACCTCTTGTTGTCGTCTGGATTTACGCATGGAGGGAGCACTTCGCTCCATTCCAAAACACCAATAAGAGCGTGCAGAATAACATGACATCCTACGGTGCCCAGCGCGCACGAAGACAAAGCCCCGACACAGGCGCTGATGTCATTCTCGGCTTGAGATATGGACCGTTGGTTCGATAAACTTGACAAAAGCATCGCCTTCAGCAGATTGGCCAAGTGTATGGCAGCCTCTTGCAAAGAACTATGTTTGAGCTGCGGAGCAGCCGAGTGAGGAATGCCATCCGCCAGTGAAGTGGAATTGCGGGACTGTTGGGCATGTGGCTTCTGCAGTTCTTCGTCGAGCGATAATCTGATATTGTCCAAGAGAAACTGTACCGATATTTGACTCCTTACCACCGTGCCTGCTTCGAGGTGACAACCTCCATAAGCTTTCGCAACCACCTTCCAAATCTTAGCAGCACTTTCGTAATGCACTCCGCCCCAAAGATCAAAGTCCAAAGCAAAACCGAACAACGCAGACAGTGCTAAATCCCCTGTGAGTCGCAACTGCAACCATTGAATTGACCAGGGATCTTTGATGTCTGACATTGCACCACATAAACTCGAACTGCCAAAGAAACAGCATTCTAGCAAATGGACAACGGCGTTAGCAACACTCGGCGGAATACATTTTGGTCGATGCCTCCTCGAGCCTTGCTGGATTTGCTGCATCCACACGTCCTCCTCCTTCGAGGTTTTCAAACACCTCTGTACGAGCATATCCATGGAGCCGCTCTTATACACATCCCAAGCTTCCGCTCGTAACAACGTCCATCGCAAGCAAACAGAGAGCATGTGGAAGACGCCTTCTTGAAGAAGTAGTTCGTGCACGCGAGAACCGCCCTCCGCGATCCATTCCGCAAGAACGTGCAATAACATTGCTGCAAGGCATACTTGGTCCTGCGAAGTGTCGTCATTTGTTTCCTCGGTGCCGCCGCAGCGTTTGGCATATTCAAAGTACTTTGGGAGGCCCTGTATACCCTCCATTGGTACTTCATGTAAGAGTCCCCAGAGATGGCGCAAGGAGTGACGCTGGAGTTGAGCTTGCAGCGAATCGTCGACGATCATTGTGACGGGAAATGCTACGAAAAAAGGCAAGATCCAACGATGCAAACCTTGATCGACCAAGGCCAGCCGCAATGATGGACACAAGCCCGGGTCGAACCGTTTGACAGCTGTGTTTGCAAGTGATTCATCCATGTCATTCCCAGTGCCAACTACTTCATGTCTTCCAAGCACGACATCTCCATTTTGCACAGTCATCGTCCAGAACGGATTTCTCACTGGAGGTGCCGGTTGAATGAGTCCAACCCGTGGCACGTCTTTGGTCCTCCCTGGTGCTTTGGTCAAATTCCACGTAAATCGTGTTGATCCTGTGACGCCTATTCGCTCTCGTTTGGTAGGCCCTTTGTGGAAACCCCATCCGACAACGTGAGCATCAACCAACGGTTGCAGCGCCTGTGACAATGGGTGGACTAGCAGACAACAGCCCACTTTGGATCTTCCATCCAAACTGTATCCCTTGCTCGCATTGGCAATCGGGGGTACCCGCGGAATAACAAAACCAGGTTGTTGAGAATTGGAAATACTCGGACCCGCCTCTGCCACCAGCGCGACAGCTTCTGGTGGAATGGGCTCTTGGTAAATGGCCCAGCTGGATAGCATCCCGTCGAATCCTCCGAAACTAATGTCCATATTTCGAGCAGCATTCTTCCCTGTCAAGTGATCCAGACTGGGGTAAGGTAGATCTCCCGTCACTATGACCTGCCCATTGACCGAAAGCGACCATTGAGGGCGTTTAAGATATGGGAACACATGAGTCATTCCCACCAAACTCCAAGTTTCTGTGGGCAGTTTGAGTGTTGCGTCGACTTTGGGAGCGTTAACACCACCTTCCAAGGTTGTCGCTTTGACCCATGCCTCAACATGATGATCTCCAACTGGATTCCAAGAACCCATGGTGACTTCAACACCTAGCCAAGCCTGAGTTGTCTGTGCTTGTTCGAGTCGATAAAGACAAGCCTCTCCTTGGCTTCCGCCTTGAGCTGATCTCCAAGCGTCTCTGGCATCTGTGGCCGACTTGGGTTTCATCCACATCAGCAGCGTGTAGCATTTTCGCAACTGACCACTCCAATCCAACGCAGGGCTAAGCGTTAATTTGGATGATGTGGAGAGATCTAGGCAGCCTTCCTCTGGCGGGGCCATGTGACAGGCATATTGGACCTTTTCTTCTGCCGACAGTTTGTAATCTAGGACCCATTTGACGGCTTCCACGTGCAGCTTCTCTGTGGTGCTTGGACCCTCTGGTTTCGTTGTTGTTACTGGCACCGGTACCTCAGTTGTGGATTGTGTCTCTGGCTGCCTCCGTCTCCTGGGGCTCCTAGATCTACTTCTTCCCTTGCTGGACATGTTGGGAACTCCGTGTGCTGTGCCTTGTCGACGGATCTTTTTTCACAAGCCAAGAAGCACCAATATCCTTGTTCTCCTTGACTCCACTCTGGAATAATATCTGCTCAAGCACACTTTTGTTTTAGATTCAACTCGATGGCGCCTTTTCACAACAGTTACTTCACAACCCAGCCAGTAGACGATTCGATTGTTTCGTGTCTCCGTACAACGGTTGGCCAAAAGATACGATGGGACGCCGTGTGACGGAGCGACAGATTTGTACAAAATTCTAATCCATTCCAAAAAGAAAGGACGACACTGAAAGCGCTTTCACCAATTTCAAAGAAAGCGATCACAGGGACTCTTGAGAGAGATGGAAGCAGGGACAAGTGCAAAGTATATTATTCTATTGGAACAAGGCGCCGCCATGGACAAGTCCTTTATACCGTGATGAGGCTCCTGCTGTGGGGCTTGGTTGGGATCAGATGACCAGGCGGCCGGGCGCGGATTTGGAAACATTTCCTTAACGCCAAACAAAACCCAACAGGCGATTACAAGCTTTCGCACACGTGACATTGCTCGTTAGTGCAATCACTTTTTTGCTGAAAGCTAAGAGAGGATGATCGTCCGCACTACACTGTACTGAGTATGGACTTGTGACTACGCAAACTACACATACACACACGGAGCACATGTTTCAATTTAAAAGATTTCACCCTTTCATGGATCTGTCCCGTAGTAGCATTAGCTCAACACTGAGCAGCATTTATTCGGAAGTCGTAGCGAGGCTCTGGGCATCCGAGTCCGGTGTTTCCCATCCTCATTGCCTCTGGAGGAAAGTGAGTTCAACAACCAACTGCCTAGCTATTAGGACCAGAAGCCCACTCGTTGCTGTATTAGAGAGTTTGGATTGATTGTAGCCATGGATGTCAATCGTCTGGTTCAAGTAGAGACGGGGTCTGTGTGCTTATTTTGACTGTCACTCGTCATTCGTTCACTTGAGAACGGCAACCAGATCACCGGTACGAAAACATCCCAGTGCAAAAGAGTTGAACATTTGAGCGAAATTCCATTAGTTGGGAAGAACGTCAGCTCCAAATTTCACCACCGGCCCCTCGGTAAGAGCACAAGACGCATCTTTCTCTTCGTCCCTGTAGTCACATGGCACGACCAGCCACTTGCCCTTGACAGTCATCAAGGCAAGGAAGATCACAGCCAGCACATGTCTCTGCTCTACTGTACCTACTTTCTCAGGCAGTGGAATACTAAAGCCAAACTTCTTTTGCATGCCTTGCTACTGCCAACACCAACAAAGTCAAAATTCACACTCCCAAATGATGTTCTGCGTCCGGACACAACTATGAATTTCCCTCATTAAAGCCACTCATTTGTGTCTCAGTGGATCCCACAAAAGTCAAGCCCTTTGTCCCCCATGTTGGTCCTCAATTGGTTGCCCCTGATCACATTGGGCCTAGTCCCGAATTCCACCTCCTCTTTGCCTAAGCCTGCCCCCCGCGAGACCACTTGTACGGTGCATTGTACAGTACCGGTTCCTGGTACCAAGTACCGTACCGGTACCAGTGGAGTGGGTTTTGGAGAAGTCATTCGAATATTCTCCAGCTAAAATCGAATAATTCGACTCGACTCGACTCTCATCAATCGTTCAAGCGATTTTGTTCCAAGCAGGAAGGCCCCGTCATGCGACTGCTAGGAGCCAAAAGTCGCACAGTAGCTCCAAAGTCGCATGAAAAGTCGTACAGAAAGTCGCGTACGATTCGCATGAAAGTCGCATGCGACTTTCTCGCACGACTTTGAAAGTCGCGCAAGTTTACTGTGAAAAAGGTGACAAAGTCGCGTCGGATCGCTGAAAGTCGTTTGAAAAGTCGTATTAAAGTCGCGTGCGACTCGCACGCGACTTTGTGAACGACTTTCAGCGATCCGACGCGACTTTAACCTTAGTCGGGATATCAGTCGTATGACGGGGCCTTCCTGATGGACGCGCGGTCGGTCTGGATCTTGCGAGGGATCACAATGGTAAAGCCACAGGAAGAAAACAAGCATTACACCGCTCTCAAGAGGGACTGTCTGCCTTGATCATCACAGCATCCACATCGTACCATACCCACATCCTGGCAACAGCTTACTTGCATTGTCCCAATACCTCTCCCGCCCTCGAATAGTTTTCAGACAGCCGGAGGAGAATCCAGAAAGGATTTGACTTCCTCCACCACAGCAAGTGGCTTTGACGCACGACACAACCATAGACAATCCGCTTCGGAACCGAGCTGCTGGTGGTGGCGCAAGCAGAGGTAGCCCAATCGTGATCACCGAAGAAAGCAGCAACAACTTCTCCACCGGAAACGGCTCCAACATGGATCACAATCAATTTGAAAGCGTGAAACGGGAAGCCACAAAACTGGAACGTCAATTGGAGGAAAAGGTTGCTCGATATCAACAGGTGTGTGGAAAATTAGTACATAGCAAGTGGCTCTGTGTGATATCGAGTGGATGTTGGATTGCAGACTATTTGTGTGTATTTTGGTTCGAATGGAGTAAAATCGAGGAGGTCTTGTTGTCTCGCGCCGCCCTACTAACTATTGTTTTTACTGTTTCATCGTGGGCGCTTTTCCTTCTAAACAATTTCCTTGATGTCCCAGCTGGCCCAAAAATGCAACGCCCAATCATCCACAACCAGTAATTCATGGAATCAAATGGAGCAAGGCCAAACGAATGGAGGGTCGACTGAAAAAGAACAGGCCGCGGCGTTGCAACACGACATTCAGCGTTCGATGCAGGCACTCCAAGACTGTATTACCTCTCGACTGGACCCAGCGGCGAATACCTCCCATCAGATGTTGGTAGTAAAGCGATATCGTGAAATTCTCTTTGATTTGACGGGCGATTATCAAAAGGCTCACCAGGGTTGGCAGCGATCGCAAGAACGGATGGAATTGTTCAAAGGAGCCGATGGATCCAAGGGCGGAGGCGAAGGCCAGGATCCGGCCATGGATAATTTGTTGCGAGAACGCAACCATATTCAAAACTCTTTGAATGGGGCCAATCAAACCATCGAGCAAGCTTTCGCTATTCGGGCCGATCTAGGCGCACAGAGAAGCGGTTTAGGAAGGGCTCAGGCGGGCATTGGGAGTATTCTCACGAATATCCCCGGCATTAATGGACTTGTTGACGCTATTCGAAGGAAACGATCAAAGGACGACAAGATTTTGGCTGGTGTGATTGCTTCCTGTATCTTTTTCACCCTGTGGTATCTGTTCCATTAAGAGCGTGGGAGTTATGAAGAAAACGTGCCAACCTTTTTTTAAAAAACAATCTGCTTCTCTCAATTAATTGCGGGAGAGATCGCCGTGGCGCCGTTCTTTGCTCTTCCACCTTACATTTCACTGAAATGTGTTTTTCACGCTGCATATATTTAAAACGAGTAGGCAGGAATTAGTTGTGTTGCTAAACGAGTTGTCGTCGTCACGAAATGGCAAAAGAAAATCTGATGGTTGTGGACCAAAGGCAAATCAGACGATACCAGGTTTATGTAGCGCAACGTATGAAGCCCAATTTTTTATCCTTTTTGTCCGAAGGTCTGAACACCCCTTTCCCTGGGGTGAGGCGGGTGCGGTCGTGACGGGAAAGATGGGTGGCCTCAATTCCCACCTGGCGCTTCGTTATGAGGACGGGACAGAAACCCTTTCTTAGCAACGACGACCAACACCCAGTCCAGGTTACTACCTCTAGTTTCTAGCAAGGAGTGGCCTAGCTAGTTGAAAGTAATTGTAAGGAAGTTGCATAATCAGTGTTGGGAAATGAATGAATGAATTTATGTACTTCGTTTAAAGAGGGTGCCATGTTCAAGCACCCTTGATGATCGAAAGATGTGCGCGTTGAGTGTGTGGATCCCAGGAGCCATATGACCGAGGCCATCAGCTCAATCAATTCCAATTAGGCTTGATCTTCCTTGACGGAATTGCGGATCTTCTGGAAGAGGTTCTTTCGATACGCTTGCATGGCTTCTTCTGCTCTTCTCTTGTATTCTTCGACACGCTCCGAAGGCAGCTCCTTCCATCGTCTTCCAATTACCTTGGTCAAATTTTCAAAATCGACCTGTCGCTTTCCCCTCTTTCCGGGCTGATTCGTCGACAAGGATCGTTTTCTCTTCTTTCCCTTGGTCTTGGTGACGTCCACAGCCGCGTTCTCGTCATCCGAGTCGCAGTAGTCATCGTCACTGTTGATAGATTCCCCTCGTGCTTGTTTCTCTGCCTTTTCTCGCTCGTTTTGAGCAATAATCTTGGCATGCTCTTCCTTGAAGAAGATGTTGTAGGCACTGAGGGGACGCTTGGTCTTCTTCTTTGCGGCAGCAGCTGCAGCGCCAACTGGTGCCGCGTTCTTTCCGGCAACCCCAATAACACCTGGAGCCTTGGATTCCACTACAGCCTCCGAGGGGTGCGACTCGACTCTTCGAGTGGTAGGAGGCACTCGAGCACCATGTACGCTAGAGGACATTCCGAGGAGAATTTCCGTGGTCATCTCGTGCGGGCTTGGAGTGTTTGTGCCTGCCGCCGCAGCGCTCCCGAAAGTGAAACTGCCGCGAGACGACGTCTGTGGCTGGTGCACGGCAACTGCTGCAGCAGGTCTCGGCTGTCCAGTTCCAGTGATGAGACGACGCAATATAATGTCTTCGTTCGATCCTTCCGAGGGCAAATCAGTTGTCCCTGTTGAATTGTGAGTAACAGTCGAATACGAGCCGGGTGCGAGAGTATTACTACCACCGGCGCTGGATGTTCCCAAGAGTTCCTGACGAAGCATGAATTCGCGCATCTGAGCAGATGCACCCAGAGAGCTTGCGAGGCGTCTTGCTTGAAAGAGATCCGTGGCAGATGCCGCGGATACAGGGTCCGCTTGGTGGGATGGTGCCGTCAGACCAGCGGCTCGTCGTCGAAGATAGAAGTCCGCCATTCCAGCGCCAGAAGTGGCCGCTCGTGGAACCGCGAGCAACGAGGATAGATGCTGCCCTCCACCCAACGACGCCGATGTCCCTGCTCCCAGCGACTGTTGCGCCAACAGGCGATCTTGAAGAAGAGAAGCAGCGGTGAGGCCAGTGGATCGTTGCTGTGTTAGCCCCGAAAAATTAGTAGTCTGATGATGCTGATGAGTTCTCAACTGGGACTGCTGCGCAACCACCAGCTGAAGAAGCTCATCGCGGCTCAGTCCGCTGAGGTCAGAATAATCGTTGTTACTCATCATCTTGCTATCGGTTGCTAAGTTGAATGTTCAGAGAGATCAGAATGAAGAGGAGGAGGGAATAGAGTGCTCTTTTTAGGCTTTCGAGATAGCAAGAGTAAGTGTGGCAACTGTTTGGCTGCAATCCAAAAAGCCTTGAGCTGGGGTTGTGGTGACCAAGTAAGTTTAGAGCTGCAAGAGGTTTTTTTGAGTTGTGGCGGGTGCAGCAGCTGCGGCAGCGGTTTCCACCGGCGATTTCACAACTCACAACTCACCGATGCCAGTGCTTGGTACTTAGAGAGCTTACTGGGTCTGAGACTATCTGATAAGGGAGACATAAAGAGCCTACCCCGAGTACGGTACTACGGTACTACTACTTGACTACACGATTCTTGGGTGTGGAACATTGGAAGTGTGAACCAGATAGACACTGGGCTACAGTACCGGTAGCTATGACATACATAGGTGGTGTTCGGTAGTCGAGCTGCCGAGACGTTCAGGAGACTTTAGAAGGAGATCTACGGAACGGTTTTTACAAGTCAACTGGTCAAGCATCACGGATGCTTGATTGTATTCCAGGAGTCTTCTCAATGGTATTTAAAGGCAGTGCTTGCTGTATTTAAAGGTAGCACTTTTTTGGCAATTCAATGGCCAAAAGCACAGTGGATGTCTCAAGTGTCCAATGTACGTGGCGGAAAGGAAAGTATGGAGTTTCCTATTCTGATTCCGGCTCGGTCAATCAAAAGAGTCTTGCGAGAGCATGGTAGAACGCGGAAACTAAACATAGCTGCACTATTACTACAGAGTCAACATGTATTTATGCATAGCAGTCGAAAAAGTAAAAGGTGCACTTTCTCAAGGCAATAGCCCTTGCAAAGCCCAAAGCCCCAAAGTAAGAACAGGTGTAGCAGTGAATTGTCGAGATCTTTCCCATTGTCCACGAGAGATTAAAGGCAGAGTGACGTTTCTCTCTTTGGCTTTATGTAGCAGGTGTTGCTTCGAATCTACCAACGCTGCGATGCTGTGATTTCTGTTAGAAGACAGTACTGTCACTTCTTACAAAGTGTGAGAACCCCAAGACAAGACTTTGTTTCAGCGACTGAGTGAAAGACTGCTTGAGCAAGCTTGGCTGCATCAACCCTGCACAGCGAGCAGCGAGAGTGAGAACAATTGATCCATCCTGTTCTCATGGGCTTCTATTTTAATCGTACATGGGGCGAGGCTGTTGAATGGATCTACATAGCGCATCGCAGCTTTTTTTGAAGCATCGATGCTGATATTGCAGTACTGCTCAAGCGCTTCTTTTCTATTGTCAGCTTCTAGTAGGATATGCCGTGGATGCTGCCTTTGGGAGCTATGGAAGTTGGAATCTTGTGTCTTGTGCTGTAAAACGTAAAACGGTTGTACAGCCTCACTGGTAAAGCTCTGCTACTCTGACTCCGACAGCTCTCTGACTCAGTGGGCTAAACTAAACCGGTGATAGCTTGATCAGCGACTGGAGTGAAGAAACTTGACTTTATTTCCTTCATGATTTTGGGGTATACTAGCTTGAGTACTCAAAAAATAGTATTCAGTACAATCCAAGAGTGCTCCGAGTAGTGGAAAGCATGCATGTTACTAAAACTTAGCCTTGCACTAAAGCATTATTAATAACTAACTAAGCTCGAGATCAATGGTCAAGGTTGTAAAACTTTTTGTTGATTGCAGGATTTAGGGGTGTCTGACTAGATCATGTACAAGTAGCGCGAGTGGGGCAAGAGAGCGAGCGGGCTCCAGCCGCGCCAGCTATCGCTACTTGCTTGTACGTACAGGTACTGGTACACTGGTACCGGTACCATGGTACCCTTATCTCTTGTTCTGGGATAGGTGGTACTGTACCACCGTACCACCACCACCAGGTTGAGATAGCTATTCGTACACCTCTACATTAAAACCGATACCATACTAGAGTAGACTACCATCCAAGACCGTGCTGAATGAAGCAGCTTTTGTGCTCCGAGTCGAGCCGTCTTCCTGCTGCACAGGTACCGGTACGTCCAGATACATGTAGCTCGTCCCACGGCTTGATCCCGTTCTTTGTCCAGTTTGCACTCCAAGTATTTTCCACGAAGGATTGTCAGTCTCCTGCTGCCCTTTCCTGGCTGGGAGCGGGCCCTAGGTAGGAAACTGTACTAGCTAGTCTATTAAAGATCAATAGAAGATGATCATTTGGCCACAGTCTTATAGTAAGCTGGATCTAGTTCTTGAGATAAATGTCCCATCGGTTTGTAGATCCGCGAACTGACTGTGACGGGGAGAGGGCCGTGCTGTTCCCCCCGAGAGCGGGAGCATTGAGAGGACGTTTCACGACCACCTTGACATTAGCTTGCTGATAGGCAATCTGCAAAAGCTCCATTTCTTCTTGTTCACGGGCTTCCTCGAGTATAGTGGCGTCATGGTCTGGGTTCCCGTCAAGAGACTGAAAGAGCCCGTGCAGTATCTGCATGCCCTTTTTCACTGCAGCCGTTTTACTCCTTGGGGGAAACATGGGATCGAGATATACAATATCTGGTTGCTCTGATAGTGTAGTATTTTGGAGTACATGTCGTGCGTCGCCCACGTGAAGAGTCAGCGTCTGTGCCAAGTGTTGGGCTCGTTGTTGCCATGCTCGACTTGCCGGTGAGGCAGGCTTATTGGCTTGTGCTATAAGTTCAAGACGACGGAGAGCGTCTTGCAGCAGAGTGGCTACAATGGGGTCTCGTTCCACCATGGTCACGTGAGAGGCCCCACCCAATGCCAATAGCAAGGAATCCTGGGCCCATCCAGCCGTCAGATCGATCACTGTAGCTCCTCCTCCACGTTGTGGTGCTACTGCCTGCAGTAAAAGGTCCGGTTGACTGCTTCGTTTGCCGACAGTAGGAGGACATAGGTCAATCCAGTGAGGCTTCATCTTGGGAAGTTTTGGCTTTTTGTTGGTGGATTGTTGTTGTCGACGCTTTTTGGCTCCCCCCGATGGTGGAGTAGCAAAGAGCGGTTGGATTGCCAAAGCATAACAGGAGGAGCGGTTGTCATCTTCCAACAAGAGCTGTCGTCCCTCTTCAAAGTCTAAAACACAAAGCATATGTGTAAACGGACTTTCGCTTTGCTGCATGTCCAACAGAAGTTGAGACATTGTCACCAACGGTAGTGACAGAGATTGGGAAACTTGTCCAGCGACTTGCGATACATGTTGTTGGTCGGCTTGGTCACTGTGAAGGACGCAAACTCGACGTTGCTGTTGTGTATTGTGATGGTTGCTTTTGTTGGAATACAAACGGATCTGACCACAACGACGACGAGGCGAAATTGTCCCAATCCAATTCTCCCACAGTGTTCCCCTCCTGACTCTCGTGGTTCTTCTTGGCACTGTGGTCGGTGGCGTCCGAAGATATCCTTGACAGGAGTAGCACGAAGAAGCCACCAGCCACCAGTTTACAATCAAAGACGATCCTCGCCGCCTTTTCAGACCTTGAAACCTTGCAGGGTATGCCACAGCGCTGGCCATGGTTGTGGCTACAAAGCGAAGTACATGTAGCACAGATAAGAAATGAAGGAGGATCCTTAGAGGAAAGAGGAGGGAGGGGGGAGATCATAGAATGGTGGAGGATGTCAAAGGACCGCACCCTCCTCGTTCTAATTGAGGGGATGGATCTTGCTGGATCGGAAGTCGGCATTAGTTGGGAGTGGACAGAGCAACAAAAATGACGTGACTGACGTCAGTGACAACCCAAATCATCCCTGACATCCAACTGACCTCAAAGATCCGATGCCAACCAACAATGAGCGGCAGTAAAAGAATTCCGAAAGCCCTTCACAAGCTAAAGCTCCTGATACAGCATTAGTAGTAAGACAATCCAACAACAGGTGTCTCGAAGAAGGTCTCCTTGATACCATTCCGTGAAAACCAAGTATCTTCGATTAATCATTTCTCCCTCCAAATTATTTCTCTGACGTGTGTACATTATCCGTTTTAGAACCAAATTCCTTTTCCCAACAAACCTTCTACCCCTGGTGGCATTTTTCAACGACACACCCAATAATGATACCCTCCCATCCCCAAAGATGCATCATGCTGATGAAGCCATCCTTCTTCTGGTACTTCCTAACGACAATCCTCCTCATCCTCCTGCCTGAAAAATCTGGTGCTCTGCCAATTTCCTTGGTGACATCCAACACGGCCGTGGAAATAGTGCAAAACATTGCCTCTGCAGTGGCGGCACCACCCAAGAGAAATGGGAAGCGTGTCCGTTCCAGAAGGAGATTCGATGATGATGATATTTTCCGTGTGGAGGGAATTGGAGGGTCGGTAATGACCAACGGAAAGGAGGAAGCGGCTCTGAGTGGCGCATTAGAACCCGTGGGACAAGCGAATCTATTGGCACCTCTACAAGAAGATGATGATAATCCAAAAGAACAAGTGTGGACAGCACTATCCCGACTGGAATCCAACAGTAAGCATGATGGATGATTGCCACGAGAGTTCTAGCACCGTGCCTGCTCAAAAAGATGATCAAACTAACTTATCTCTCTCATCAACCACCAACTTGATATTTCTATATACGGATTTCTAGTGGAAATGTTGGATGAATTGGCGGGGCAAAAATCACAACTAAACACCCTGGAAGCAACTATCCTCGCGGGATGTATAGCAGCCGCCGCTTCAGGACCTTTGATTGGAGGATCCTTGACGGAATTTGTGGCACCTTCGGCTGCGGCATGTAAGTCAGATGCAATTACAAGAGGACTACCTCTGCAAATTTCCTTCCTCTTGCACTTATATCATTTGACTTTTTTCGATTCGAAAGTATGCGCTGCCATTGGAGTCGGAGCAGAGTATGTTGGTAAGACGGCTGTGGCCGATGGTAAAGAGCTTGCAGCAATATCTCTGCAATGTGCAGCCGAAGCTGAAGCTATACTAGCCCAAGCCGAACGTTCCAAAGCCATCACCCCACTATGTGTGGGAATCGGAGCAACGTCGGCGACTTGCAGTCTGGTAATACCGGCAGTCTTGGAAGCCAGTGGCTTGTTGTATTCGGCGCCTGGCGTCAGAGAGCTCTATTTACTATGCCCCGTTGCAGCCGTTCTGTCAGCTGCCATTGGTGGTTTGGCATCACAAGAAGTGCGACAATTTTCACGAGCAGCCATTGGAGTTGGAAATAGGCGGTTTGCTAGGTCTGGGTCCGTGGGACGCACATGGCTCAGTGCTGGACAGCAAATCGCCAGAAAGTCTGAAACAGGGCGCAAAAAGTTGACAACCTTCACTCTCAGTGTTATTCCGGCCCCTTTGGTGGGAGTCCTGATGCCCGGTAGTCTGGCCACCAAAACTATCATTGTCTGTGCCTTTGCAGCGGCCGAGTCGGCATATTTTCTGGCAGAAACAGAGTACACATTGTCTCGTGCAACAGATGCGGTTGCCCTGAAAAGTCGAAGTGCTGCTGTCTGCGATACCTACGCCAATCAGGCTACCCGAAGTGCTGCCATTCTCCCCTTCACATCGGCCCTCTCGGCACTTTGTGCAGCAACCACAGCAGCCATTGTGGAATTGCCTTTCTTTGAGGCATCCACGTCAGCTCTGATCACAGCCGGTCAAGTGGTCGGGATCAGCTTTTTCCCGACCTGCGCTGCTTTGCTTGCAGGAGCTGCATCTGTGTCCAAGGCAAGATGTGAAGTGGATACCGAAGCAGCCATGGAAGCTGCCTCTACTCTTGCCCTGGAGTATGAGGAGAATTCCAAACTGAGCCCCGTGTTGAAACCAATACAAGCTACCTCGGAACTGATCAGCTTGACGCTCGGCAACTCAATGGGAAAACCAGTCCGACGGTTTTGGCGACGACTGGGCCTGATCTTGAGAATCCCGAGACGATGGTTTTTCCGAAGTAGTCTACGAAGGGCTTTTAGGATCTTTGATAGCGACAGGGACGGCTTATTGTCTGTTTCCGAGATTCGACGATGCGTCAATAAACTGGGGGTTTCCCTGTCGGAGGACGAGGTTTCGGACATGGTCAGGGACTATGACCAAGATGGCGATAATAAGATCAACTACGATGAATTCGTCAAGATGATGATGTCGAGATGAATTTTAGGAAGCATGCAAGATGTAAATAAATATTAACCGGGCATCGGTTCAGCTACTTCATTACATGTAGTCTATCTCATGATGATCCCACTGTGATCCTCCTACTCTAAACCCCCTTGCATTTTTCTTGAAGTTTTCCCTTCCCACCTGGATGCACAACAAGCAGCTCTACTAGCTTTAACGTTCGCCCAAAAAGCCGGCCAGACACGTAGAAACCATAAGTACAAATCCTGCCCCCTCTTCGGTGAATTCAAAGAGAAATTCAATTGGAGGAAACCCCTTCAGAACCAAACAGCCACATTACCAGCGAAGAGCACCACCCCTTCATCTGCAGCAAACTGGCACCCCCAAGAACGAACCACAACAAGGTGTCCCCCACTATTACAACCCCTCGTCTTTTTGAGATTGTCACTGCATCAAGTATCCACTCCCAAGCAATTGAGTTATTAGTTAGGGTAGCGTTCTTAGACTGCTCTTGTGGTACGGCATTCATAGATCTCAAAAAGCAAACAGAGTTTGTGAATTCTCGCACGAAGTGACTTGTTGCGACTGCCCAACGAAAAGATACTAGAGGACTTAAGATACGATGAGCGCACTTGACGAGGATTCCAAGCCCTCTGTTGTGGTACCTCCACCACCAGCCATCATGGGCGGTGGCTTGAGTGTGGTCGATCACCAACCACCACCTCTTCAGCCTCCTGGAGCAGAGGCGGCCACCATGCCTCTTGCGGTGCACCCGAACCATGAAGCCACCGAAGTTGACGCTGACGAGACGGGTGAAGATGGTCAGAAAGGAACTTACTCCCGCCGCTTCTTTCCAAGGTTTGTCATTGGGTTGTATTTGTCTGTGTGCGGAAACCTGCGGTGTTCATCTCATATCATTGTTTTCTTTCCATCGTATGATTCAGAGTGAAGCAACTGGTGAACCCCGAATGGGAACACTTCTTGCAATCGGTTCTGCACAGTGTTCAGGCCCACCAAGCTCATCAATCCTTGAAAGCATCGGGGGTCGAGGACAATGCCTGGTACCAAGTCTTCCATTCAGTATACGGTGGCATCGCGGCAGACAGTTGCTCAGGTATCATAATAGGGTTTTGGTTGAGGTGTTGACACGCAAGTGCCATTGGATCTCGCTCACAGTGACTCTTTGCTTTCTTCCATGCAGTGCCCCAAGGAAAGAATCGTTATCACAAGTTCAAGGACAAGATTGTCGAGCTGTGGCGCTATATGGCGGTCACCGATGCTCCTGAGCATGACATTAATGGTCGCTTGTGGAAGATGGGACGGACGCAGTGGGAAATGTACAAGTCCTTGCTTGTGGTTGCAGGCAAATCTCCAGTGGAAATCACCATGGATGGTTCCTATCCCAAAACTATTCCTGGTGGCAAGATCAAAACGCTAAAGAAAGGGCGCAAGGGGACACCCGTGACACGACAACAAACACCCATTGTGCACTACGAACCTGCCCCCAAGAAGAACTATCTTCCTTCACCACTCCATGACTTGCACATTGTTTGGAAGATGACAGTGAAGCACAATGATCCTATTGAGATGGGATACATTCGAAAGGACTATCAGAATTGCATCCGCATGTTCATAGAAGAATGTCATGGCGGCCCCGAAACACCCAACAAACTCTTGTGGCACTTGGAAGGGTTGAACGAGCTCCGTGACGTGGAACAAGAGGACGAGATCAGAAAGCAAATTGGGGACGCTTACAAGGCCGTGCTGCAACGGTACGTGGCAGCGCTGAACAAGAAGAAGGGTGGCAAGATGATCACTGTGAAATAGTAGGAGAACACATTCCAAAACGTTGTAGGGAGGAAGAGATACCTTGCAAGACAGCTTTGGCAACTTGTAGTCTAAGTACTTTAGTAGTTTTATCTGTAGAGCAGTTTATTTGTTCCGGTAGAGCAATTCTTTTAGTTACTTGGAAATCAATGCTGACCCCAATGATCTGAATATCTCAAACATCTTCCTAATTCATGTTACCAAAGATCTTCTCTCTGCTAGAGATTGCCGAGCCGATTGCATGAATTAATCCCTGAACAGAAATGGCTTTGTCTGCCTATCATCCTCACAGTCAATAATTCCAATCCAATCACCCATCTGTTGGAAGACTTCCGTTGGTAAGTGCCTTGTATTGCTCTGGCAGTCTAGTCTTTTGAAAGGCGAGTTCGACCCCATCAATCTTGCGAAACATGACCACTTGTCCACACTTCCATTTGAGAAACTTGAGCAGTCGTACTCGTTTTGGAACCATGGTTGTTTCTAATGGTTGGATTGCTGTTTCTGTCGCCGGAGCTTCATTGCCATTGTCAACAAGAATTTTATTGCTCCCGTCTTTCTTGCCCTGCTTGACAACCACGGGCACTTGGATAATGTAGTCCACAGGGGAAGGAAATGGTTGATCAGGCCAGATTTGATTCCATCGGCGGGCAATGCTGCATATAGGGAACCCCTTGTCACCATAATCGGAGATTACCGCAAGTATCCGAGCTTGAAACAACTGATCTTCGTTTAACGAACAATCCTCTGTTGATGTTGTTTCTTCTTTTCCATTCTCCCTTTTGCTCGAGTTGGTGGTTTGCTGCGTGAGCATTTTCAATGCTTCATACTTTGGATTTCGCTGCGATCCAACTCCTCCATGATGAATCAAGTGTTCGTAGGCTGCCTTGACCTGCATAAACAGTTCATCATTGTTCTTGTCATGACCAAAATTCATATTCTTGTCCCTCGTGAGTTTATCCGGATGAAATTTTCTGGCCAATACTTTGTAGCGTGCATAAATTTCGTCATTGGTGATGACCTCTTCCCCCGAGAACCCCAGTACTTGCAAGCTTTCGCATCGTGCTCGACTCCCATGTCGTAGCAACCAAGCGTGGGCTTCGGTGTTCCCTCCCATGAGTGCCAAATCGGCGGCATAGTTCCCCGAGGCATCTTGTACATTGTCGTAAACCCCATGCTCTTGACAAAAATACTGCAGCAAGGCAACATTTCCGCCCCAGGCTGCCTTGTGAAGGGGCGTGTGTCCTTGATTCTGTTGATTGTCGGGAGTGGACGAGTAGGATAGTCCTCCTTGTTCATGCATGTAGTTGGCCAAAGGGAGCACCCCACTGCCACAAAGTGTTGATTGATTGTTGGTGTTGTTGTCGTCGTTGATACTATCCAACCACCGATGTTTAGGTATGAGCCCAATCCAGTGTTGTAATCCACAGTTAAAATCATTGCGTTCTAACAAAATGTTTGGATTGCCACTGTTCTGATTCGCTTGCGCCAGATATTGGACAATGGCGAGTTGATTTTGCCAAACGGCCAATTGCATGGGAGAGACTGATCCCTTGTGACATTTGGGGTTAGGATCGGCCTTGTAGGTTTCAATCAGGAGCTGGGAGGTGGACAAGTGACCGTTGCGAGCGGCATAGTGCAAGGGAGTTCGTCCCGTCGACGGTTTCAACGCCAATTGGTTGACCGACAATTCTTCTGGATGATGATAGTGATCCAAGAGAAAAGCAACAGCCTGATCAAACCCTGTTCCAGCAGCCCAATGAAGTGCATAACACCCACTCTTGACATCAGCAGCTTCTACTAGAAACCTGGCCAATTTCTCAGGTTGGCATTGGTGCCATTGCTGTAGTTGGCGGAGGCGTCGTGATTCTTCATCAGTTTCTTCTTCTCCTTCATTCCTTTTGAAATTGCAAAGGTCCAACAGAGACCTCGCAGTCAAAGGAACTTGTCCATTCGTCTTCTTGCTCTTTGTACTGCTATTGTTACTGTTGTTGCTGCTATTTCCTATCGTATCCTTTCCGTTGCGGTTTCCATCCATTCTTTCGTCATTGTGGTTTGCTGTTCTCAGTTGCTTTTTGGGTGCCACGTGGAGGTTCATCAATAGATGGACGGACAGACCACCTTTTGCTAACCCACACCCAAATACGAAAGCAATTTTGGTACTGTTGTTAGAAAGGTATTTTCGTATGACGGACAGACGACTCGGGATCCACAGTCACGGTTCGTGATTGGGGATGTGTGACTCAAACTCAGATGGTTATCCGATCATCATCGGATGGCCAGATGTACGAGGAACGAGGACGATGGTCGTCTAGATGATGCAACTACAATGGTCAGGAAGTTAGGTCGAAGAGATGAATGTAAAGAGCGATGGGACGGAGCAAATGAATGGACAGATGAAGGTCCACAGGTTTAGTAAAGTGGGAAAGCCCCTTCAGGGCCAACCATGCACTTCAGGAAGATAGATCGACGAGATCTATCTGCGATGAAACTGCGAGAAGCAGAGGATCAAAAAATCCTGGTACATGTATGCATATCGGAGCTCAGTCTAAGAGCTCACAATCTGAACGAGAGAGAAAGAGAAAACGAAACGAATAGCCAGTCTACTAGACAGTAGAGCTGGAAAGAGGATACTGATTAATTAGAGAAATTGTGCATTCAAGTTCACCCCTTTTCAACACGTTTTAAAACGATAGCTATCAGGAAAGAGTGAGCTTGAATTCAGGTTGTCAAACAGAAGGAGAAGTAAGTCAAGATGTCTGAGGTGGAAGTAACATCGTCGAGCAAGTATTCCATCTTTGATGGGAAAGATGAGAAGTTTCGGTTCTACAAGGTCAAGATGATGGCCCATCTATCGAAGTATGGGTATGTGGAACTGATGAAGGACTCTACGGAGATCAAGCCGGACAACTGGGAAAATCCCACAGGTGCAGGCAAGGTAACGGATGAAGAAGTGGAGAAGATTGAGAGTTTGCAGAAGAAGAACAGCAAGGCTGCTGGATCAATGTGGAGACCATCGAAGGGCAAGTTGCCTTCGACATATTGGCCTCACACCAAACGACTGACCATGCTGCTGGAAAGTTCAAGGGCATGTGGGAGTCTATGCTGGACCTCTACGATGCTGAAGACAGCGGCGAGGTAGCAGCTCGACGAACGGAATACTACGCCATAAAGATGGACATCAAGGAGAACCCAAAGAAGTTCGAGATCAGACTTGACGTGAAACGCAAGAAGCTAGCGAAAGACGGGTTCAAGATCTCAGACGAAGAATACATCAAGTACCTTCTTGAGAAGATGCTGAAGAAGGAAGGAGAACTTGGTGTGTATCATGAAGTAAAGAAGAATGTCCTGAGAAGGATCAAGACGACAGGGCACGGAATAACGGTAAAGAGTGTGGTGAATGACGTGTGCGAAAAAAGAGTGTGGTGAATGACTTGTGCGAAATCTACGATGAAATCAAGGCATGTAATAATAAGTCGACGGACCACAGCAGTGAAACAGCTTTCATTATTGGAGGAAAGCAGTTCAAGGGTAGATGCAGGAATTGTGGGAAGATCGGACACAAGCAACAAGACTGCCCAGACAAGAGAAGTTCGAATGGAAGAAATGTCGGACAGCGACCTCAAGGAAGGCCAAATGGTAGATTCAACAAGAATGGTGGGAACTACCGAAGCAACCAAGGCAAGGGCAAGTTCAGCAGAAAATGCTTTCACTGTGGCAAGATCGGACACAGGAAAGCGGATTGCCTAAAACTCAAAGCAGAACAAAGAAACGCAGAAGGAGCGAACACAGCACAAGAAGCAACAGAAGAAATGGCATTCATGACGATGAGCGATGAAATATGCATGCCATGCCGTGGAGTAGAGTTGTCAGACGATGAAACAGTAGGAGTAGAAGAAGCATCGGAATATGAAGGTAAAGAATGGGAAGCATTCTGGGATAATTTTGAAAGCGGAGAAGACGTGGATGAAGATGGAGAAAGCTTGGAGCGATTGACTTATGAGGCAATGGACGCCCTTAAGTCTCTCCAAGAGGAACAACAACGATTGACTGAAGCAGAATCAGTCACATACAACGAGAACCCAGACTCTACCTTTCTGACCTGGACCTCTGTGGAAACTCGAGTCGTGCAACCGATCGTCTCCTAAATCCTTTTGATCGTCTCCTATTTAATGGATTTCGTCTCCTAAAAATAGGAGACGAAACGGATCGTCTCTTAAATCTTTCGTCTCCTCTTAAATCGTCTCCTATTTTCAACGGATCGTCTCCTATTCTCAACGGATCGTCTCTTAAGTGCACCATGTAAACTGTATGGTATCGTCTCCTAAATCTTTCGGATCGTCTCCTATTTCGAAACGATCGTCTCCTAAATAGAACGTCTCCTAATGAATCGTCTCCTAAATATAGGAGACGAAAGCTATCGTCTCTTAAATCATTTCGATCGTCTCCTAAGCCTTGGTGTATCGTCTCTTAAGTAATTTGCCACGAATGACGTTCCACAGAGGTCTTGTGAAGTAGAGAGCAGGGCAGATTCCGACAGCGAAACGCTCCACGATTTTTTAAAACAAAATGGCTACAACGAAGACGTTTCTGAGAAGGAGGAGAAACAACGAACAACAAATTCGCCCACAATCTACGAAGACGACAACTACTACAGCTGTTTGAAAGTGAAGA